CAAAAAAAAAAAAGATACCTTGAAGTCCTAACCCCCAGGATCTCAGAATGTGAACTTATTTAGAAATGGGGTCACTGCAAATACAATTAGTTGAACTCAGATCAGGTCATACTGGAGTCGGGTGGGCCTCTAATCCATTGGAACTGGTGTTTTTATAAGAGATCATGGCCATGTGAACACAGAGACACACAGAAAACACCATGGGACTACAAAGGCAGAGACTGGAGTTATGCAGCTGCAAGCCAAGGAACACCAAAGATCGCCAGCAAACCTCCAGTAGCTGGAAGAGACAAAGCAAGATCCCTCCCCTAGAGGCTTCAGAGGAAGCCTGACCCTGCTGGCATCTTGGTTACAGATTTCTAGCCTCCAGAAGTGTGAGATAATATATTTCTGTTGTTTAAAGCTACCCAGTTTGTACTACTTGATTACAGCAACCCAGGGAAATAAATATAGTGTGGACAAGTCTTGAATCCCAACAGAGAAGGAAAACCCACTTTAACTTCCTGCTGTTTGGTTGTACCATGAGTGTCTTCGCCTGTGGTTATTAGCATGTTGGAGCCACTACTGCCCCTCAGATATTCCCAGGCAATGTAGTCATAAGTGCCCTGAAGTCAGTCTCTGAACAATGACACCATGCAGCTTGCAGCGGTCATAACCAGGGAGATTTAAAAATCTGAAGTTTTCATGAATTTATTATTATGAACTGCTAAATCAACAAACTCTGGAACAATCTGCCTCTGATTTTACTATATGAGAAACTTAATTATCTATTGCTCAAATTATTTTGTTCATGATAATCTGCTAAATAGATAGTCTCTAGGTGAAACTTTTTCTTTCACTCTTAAGATAATCTTTCCTGTAGTCACAGTATGCTACTGACACACAGTGTGCTTAGTTTATAAAAAAAACTGTTCTGATCTTAAGCCAGGCATGTTGGCCCATGCCGGTAGTCCCAGCTTCTTGGGAGGCTGAGGCAGAAGGAATGCTTGAGCTTAGGAACTGGAGACCAGCCTGGGCAACATAGTAAGAACCCACATTAAAAAAAAAATGTACTGAGCTGGGTGTGGTGGCTCATGTTTGTAATCCCAGCACTTTAACAGGCTGAGGTGGGAAGATCACAAGGTCAGAAGTTCAAGACCAGCCTGACCAACATGGTGAAACCCATCTCTACTAAAAATACAAAAATTAGCTGGTTATGGTGGCGTGTGCCTATAATCCCAGCTACGCAGGAGGCTGAGACAGAATTGCTTGAACCTGGGAGGCAAAGGTTGCAGTGAGCCAAGATCGTGCCACTGCACTCCAGCCCAGGTGACAGAGCAAGATTCTGTCTCAAAAAAAAAAAAAAGTACTGGTCTTGATTTCCAGACTAACCCTTTTACTATGCCAAGCAATTTATTTCCCCTATAGTATTGTTTCAAAGTACTAACACACTAAGGGCATCCCACAGAATTCTTCTCCTACATTGCTGAATTGATACTACTCTGCCAGTATCTTTCAACTTTAATAGTGTCCAAATGAGGTAGTAAGAGAAAACATAGAGAGTGTTGACAATATAGTCATTTCATTTCATGCTGCAACTTTGAGCTGCCCCAGTGAACTGTGTCTTGACTGCTCATCAACATTTGACTGTATTGTGGTCACATTCCATTAGCTACCTGGTTTGTAGAATAGCTATTTGAATTAAATATTACAATTACTCAAGCTCATGGAATAAAAATGAAAATAAAAAAGGAAAAAAACTATTTGGTTCCATTCCTCAAAAATAAAATAGGATCAAGAATTTCTCAGCTGCATTTAAAAAATGAAGCACAAGTCACCTGCAGTGCTCTTTATTCCATTGGCATTAGTATCGCATGCATTGTTGTGTCTAATCTAAAGACCACTTACTCATACAAGCAGAAGTAAAAGCATATCAGGACCAATACACTACACAGGCCATCTTTTGCAGACAATGCTACTTTGAACCATTACTGATTATACTTTTAAGGACTGTTCTTGACCCAAAACGTGGCTCACATGGACAGTATAAATGTTTGTTGAACTGGACTGAAAAATGGAAGGTTGTTTTTGTGGACATTCTTATGGAGGATTATGGAGCAAAAAGAGACTTTCTTGGAAAAAGTAATTCTCCATTTAGAAAATAAAAATGTGAGGATGATGCAGGCCTGATTCCCAAGAACTGTAGCCTGGGTCCCAGAGCATACTAGACGTATCACATATCCTGAGAGAATCCTGCGCCTGAACAATCAGGCACTCACTCCTGAAATGTGCTGTGAGGGTCTCCATACCTTAAACTGCTTACTCTTCAATTGACCCATTGCAACAGGTAGGATCAGTGCTGGCATTTCCCAGCTAACAGGGGAACCACTTCCAGGGAATCTGAGCAAAAAGAAGCTCACCATAAGCTGCCCCCTTTAGAAATACTGCACATATTTTATTCAACCAGCTAAAGTTGGAAAGTCACAAACACCTCATAATAAATATACAAAGCAAAAAAAAAAATACTTCTCTTAATTATATTTTGTGATTTTGAAAACACCAATTTGCTCTAGATTAGAACAGGAATACCATCTTCCATGTTATGCCACCACAAATATTAGTTGACTGACCTTGGTCATGCTTTCCTTTCAGAAAAGATCAATCTAAATCTACAGAGAAAGGTACTAATACAATAGTTGTGAAGCCCTCCTCAAACAGTCCTTCAAACTCATCTTATCCCTTTGGCTTTTTTACCAATACATTCATTCATTCAACTTTTTTTTTTTTTTTAAGATGGAGTCTCACTCTGTCACCCAGGCTGGAGTGCAGTGGTGACATCTCGGCTCACTGCAACGTCCACCTTCTTGTTCAAACAATTCTCCTGCCTCAGCCTCCCAAGCAGATGGGATTACAAGTGTGCACCACCACACTCAGCTAATTTTAGTATTTTTAGTAGAGACGAGGTTTTGCCATGTTGGCCAGGCTGGTCTCAAACTCCTGAACTCAAATGATCTGCCTGCCTCAGCCTTCCAAAGTGCTGGGATTACAGGTGTGAGCCACTGCTCCTGGCCCAACAGATTTTTTTTAAAGCATCGGGCTCTGTATCAAGCACTCTATTAAGAGCTGAGGCATCCCAAGTCCCTGCTAGAGCTGAGTCCAGTTGGGAGACCTGCCTCCCAGCAACTACAATACAGTGGTGATACTGTATTAATGGAGGTTGTAAGGACATGATAGAAACTTAGGGATAGGAGCCTCAATGTCGGCAAGGGATTAGGGAATGTTTCCTAGAGGAGCTAGCATTTGAGACTTGTTGGTTAAGGAGGAACTTTCCAGAGACCTGGGACCATTCCAGATGATATAATAGTACATCAAGGGCTTAAAGGTACATCAGTAGGGATTTGGAGAGTCACCTGTTGTTCACTGCTGTTTGGGGCTTTAAGAACTAGTAAATTGGGGGAAGAAATCTGAAATAAGGCTGGACAGATAGGGGTTGGAATAGTAAGAGCTTTATTCATAATTTAAAGGAGTTTTGACTTTATCCTGCAGTGTTTCTCAAAGCAGGGTTCACAAAGGCCCTAAAAAACTTTTTATGTTTTTCGTTTTGTTTCAATGATAATTGTATTAAGAATAATAATGGGAGAATAAGGGATAAAAACATATTCTAGATCATCTGGCTGACAATTTGTCACACAGTGTCCATATTATGCTTACTATGATGTTGGCACCAAGCCAACAGAGATGTAACAGGAGGAGATCAAGGGAGATGTTGTTTGAACAAAGAGATTATGCTAGCTGAAATGGAATAAAGTAGTAGGAGAACTGGGTCGCCACGTGGTATGTGGTTGTAGGTGCGCCAGACTCAAAATAATCCATGCTGTTGTGTCCTGAAACATAATCACACTGCAAAGGACAACTGAGATTCACAAAACAATATCATTTGTCACATAAAATTCAAGTTGCTTACTTGAGTGTTACTGGCTTTGTGTAACAGTTTTTTCATAACACATTTTTTCCTTTTGGTTTTACATTTCTACAAATAAAAATGACAAAAAGTTTATATCTAATTTCATGTTTTGTAAAACCTATTTAAGAAATATTTAAGATCTAAGTAAACACTGGCATTTGTAGCATTTTCCTTTTTCTTTTAAGTGGGCCTGTCCATTACCCAAGCATGAAAGAAAGGGCCAAAAATGATGGGGGGTTGGGTATTGAAATTTAAGCCGAGATTAATGTGAACCAGTTACTTTGTTAGGAGACCACTTTGGCAGTCACACAGAGGAAATACCACCATGCAGGGATGGAAAGACATTTAAGGAGGTGACCATGTGAGTCCTTTTGTTAAAATAACCCATTTGTTTAATCCAAAAAGCTACTCTCAGGCAAAGGTCAGCATCCTGTGGAATTAAATGACCTGAAAAACTAAACTGCACTAGTGTTTCAGGGCATGCCTCATCCAGCTGGAAGGTTCCCCAGACTTCTATATGTGTCATTTTCCAGAGAGTTCTGTGATGATACCAGACCTAAATTAGGAATAAATCCCATGTTTTACTACAAAGAGCCAACAAAGTACACAAGGTAAGTTGCTATGTATCTGATAACAAAAAACAACCAGGGCCACTGCAGGTAGATCTGTAGGCCAGTTGGTGCAGAAATCTGTCTCTTCACCAAGCCATGTACCTCTAGGGCTGCGTCTATCCAGGGAAGTTGACTTTTTTCTAATTTATACAAGGGCTGGATGAATTTGCCAAGCCATGACCCTTGGAGAGAGCTGCATCTTCTGGAGGGACGCCTTCTTCTAACTGCATGAAGGTACCTTATGGGGTAGCTGTGACTTAATCCTGCTTTTCTGAGATTACACCTCATCAGCATCACTTACCAAATTAGAACTCTTATAATTCAATGAGGATAAAGAGCTTTCTTCTCCCTAAAAATTCTGGAGAGCACATGACTTACCCATGAAAAAAGCATAGTGCCAAGGCATTCAACAAGTGCAAAGAAAGAACCAGGTATTTCCAGCTTACCTCAGGGGCCATCCAGAATGGGGTGCCAACGGATGTGTTTCTCCGTAGACGGGTACTAGTGAGTTGAGCTGAAACACCTATAAGAAAAAGATATCAGAATTCAAAAGAGAACAAAGTATGACACTAGACCAGGGATTGGCAGGCTTTTTCCATAAAGGGCCAAATAAATATTTTAGGCTTTGTGGGCAGTATGGTCTGTCATGACTACTCAACTCTGCTGCCATAGTACAAAAGCAGCCATAGTAAACACATAAATGAATGAATGTGGCTGCATTCCAATAAAACTTTATTTATAGATGCTGAAATTTTAATTTCATATAATTCTCACATGTCACAAAATAGTGTTTTTTTTTCCCCCAATCATTTCAAAATGTAAAACCATTTCTACCTCATAGGCCATGTGAAAATAGGAGGCAGGTCATATTCAGCCTACTAGCTATAGTTGGTAAACTGGAGCATCTATCACTCTATTTAAGGCATTAGGGTATATATTTTTTTCTAATGGACATCTCTGTCTATATTCCTGCAAAAATCAAAAGAAAAATATCAACAACTAGGATCAATCCAAAATGTCATCCTATTGTATTTCCAAATTATTTCACATAATTTCTTTCTTAATAATGTGCTTCATTTTTTGGATAAAGAAGATTGGCATGCACTATCTATAACAGAGCATCATTGTAGACATAAAAAGATTACAGTGTCTTATCTTGCCTAAAAGCCTGGAAACCTGGCAAGAAAGCTGTGTTTGTTCAAATGGAAAAAGAAAATGACTAGTAAGTAATATTATCTGGGGCTCAACGTTGAGGACCTGAATTTTAATGTAACTCCAATGTCCTTTAACCAGCTCTCGTCAGGGCGCGGTGGCTCACACCTATAATCCCAGCACTTTGGGAGGCCGACGCAGGTGGATCACAAGGTCAAGAGATCGAGACTATCCTGGTCAACAAGGTGAAAACCTGTCTCTACTAAAAATACAAAAATTAGCTGGGCATGGTGGTGCGCGCCTGTAATCCCAGCTACTTGGGAGCTGAGGTAGGTGAATTGCCTGAACCCAGGAGGCGGAGATTGCTGTGAGCCGAGATCGTGCCATTGCACTCCAGTCTGGGTAACAAGAGCAAAACTCCATCTCAAAAAAAAAAAAAAAAAACAAAAGCAGCTCTCTTCTTCATACCATGAGGGCGTAAAGGTACACTGGATTGAGAGTCAATGTTTTCCATCATAATTATGCTTTTTACTAATTATGTGAATCCTTCACCTTTGAGCCTCAGTTTTTTCATCTTCAAACTAGGGATAATCACAACAGTCACACCTACCCACAGAGGGTTCTTCTTAAGACCAAATAGGAGAACAAATGTGAAAATGGTTTATAAATTGCAAAGCATTTTACACATGTAAGATATTCTTTTATACCACAAAGAAGTCTCAAATAGCCCTAAAGAGAAGGACAAGGGTTGCCACTAATGTCACTGATGACAAAAACTTAGAAACTGAACAGTGTGCCTTCTTAGCAAAGGACACATCTTTGAAACATCAGCATAGATTTGCCAAAGATCCATGGGTTGTTTTGTGGCAGGGATGACTGTTGTGTTAGCTGCAGATGTTCTCTTTATTAGAGAGCCAAGAAGCTCTTAAAATTCCATTGGCCATGGAAAACTTCCCATTTTACCAAGTCCTCCACCACAATTTTGGTAAAAAAACAACTATACCTTTCAGGTTCTAATTTCTAGAAATTTCTTTTGCAGCCACTGAAAGTTCAGGACCTTCTAATGGAAAGATTAGGAACATTTATTTACTCTATGTCAAATCTCAAAGCTGGTGAGTAAATCAATCAATATCAATTCCCATCCCATCCTCATCCATCCAGTCTGTTTCCCCTCACAACATATTTACTGCCCCCAGAATCATGTGGAAAAAAATCTCTAATGTTATACACATAGCATATTATTCGAGTTACATCATTCCTTATAAAGAGGAGCATAAGACTTAAACAAAATACTCCCTAGGCTATTTTTCTTTGCTTGCATTTCAGTAAAAATAGACCAGTATGTCTAAAGAAACTTCATTTAAGTAATTTCTTCTAAGCAAATGATAAACTGATATATGTTTATACTCAACTCTTTCTTAGGAATACAACAATAAATATTCAAAAATCATTAATCTCATTTTTTACTATAATAACTGACATTTTTAAAGTGTCTTTGGAAATGTTTTCTTATTATTTGTAATAATGACTCTGAAGAACTATTGTAGAACTTATTTAGAAAACTAAATATTCAACAAACAAGAAAGAAAACCAAATGGTTTGTTATTTTGTGAATATCAATATATGATATTACAAGGAGATAGTTAATAGTTCTCTGGCCTTAGGTGATACTGCCCTGCATTTCCGCTCACACTTCCATTTCCCATTAATGTTTCCAGTTCAGCCAGATTCACATGTAGCAGCAACAAACACAATTTAAAAGGATGTTAGCTCTCAGGCCCACAGGACTATTTTACCTTCTGCTCACTGGGAATAAGTATGCCTAAGGCTAGTGAAAGTCATTTGAAAGACCAAACTGCTTTCTCTTTTCATATGCAAAAGAAGAAATGACAAAATGTAAATTATAGACAATTGCCCTGAGATATGAAATTCTTAGCAGAAAACCAGAAAGTTTTTTCATCAAGTTCTTCTTTTGAAACACTTTTATTTTCGATCTTTAATAAAATTGCTTCTAAAGCTGAAAATAGATTAACAAACAGCATCTCCTAGAGTGATCCATCTGGAACCCCCACCCCCCAGCCTGTATTTGACTGGAAAAGTCCCTCAGCCTATGGTGTAGCAGAGAGGCCCTAGTCTTCTGAGATTGCAATAAATTGTCCCCTTTGGCTAAACTGCACGCATCAAGAAAACAAACGACAAGCAGTCATTACCAAAGTCAACGAGCTTAACTCCTCCTTCTGTTGTCAGAAGAATGTTATTCCCCTTCACATCACGGTGGATGATTCGGTTGTTGTGCAAATGCTGAAGGCCCTGCATGGCATCCCACCACCACCAAACAACAGGAAAGAGAAAGGGGAAATTTACATGCTTATTTAAAAGCAATTACCCTACTATTGAAAATTCTCATGAAAGTCTACATTTGGCTACACCTTCTGGCTTTTAATATTCCTTGCATATCATAGAACAGTTTCCCCATTGTTAATATGTAATAAGGACCCAAGCAATGGACAAAACATCCCCTCTGCTGTCATACCCAGTTTGATGGATGTTCTTACCAAGAGGGCCCCGTACAAGATGTATGAGATCATTGCTTCATCCAGCCGCTGGCCACATCTGAGTAGACCTTTGACAAGTTCAGTGACTGAGCCCCCATTACACAGCTGCGAGAAGAGGTGCCAGACACAGGGAGAACAGGAGACCACATATAAAAAAGAAAAGAAAAAGAAATTAAAAAGAAAAGCCACCTGATACCGATTCAAAGTAGTAAATTTGCAGATCACAAAACTCCAGGTTGGAATAATCAGCCTTCAAATTTCCATTATCCAAATTTAATTTTTTGTATATGTATTTTTTATTGGAGGTGATGATTTATGAGTGAAAGCGCATGCCAGAATGCTAACTTTTTAATTGCCAAGTATAAAATAAAAAATAAAATATAAATTGTCACAACTCCATATGCAAGCCTGGAGTCTGAAAGCCTGAAGTCCTGCTTGCCTCCGGCTGAAGTCTCCCACCCGCTGCCTGCATTTGCCATTGTCCCTGATCTCCCAGCAGAGCTTCCCACAAGCCCCTCACCCAACCCTGCCATCTTACCTGTTCTTATGATAATGTAAATACCGCTCACCCAACCCTGCCACTGTAACTGCACTTGTATACTCCTTGCCCCTACCCCCCAACCACTGTAACTGAACTTACTCTGCAACACCCCCAGCCCCCCAAAAAACTATCCAAACCTATAAAAACTACTCCTATCCCACTGCCCTTTGCCAATGCCCTTATTGGCCTTAGCCCACCTGCACCCAGGTGAATAAACAGCCATGTTGCTCACACAAAGCCTGTTTGAAAGGTCTCTACATTCAAAGCATGAGGTTTTTTTTCCAACATAAAGCACATTGTTTAGAAATTTGAAAGAAAAAGCATATGCAAATGCTTTTTCAAAAATATCTAATAAGTTGCAAAAAATCGTGGCAACTTATTAGATATTTTTCACTTTATGTGAATATTGTCTATTTTCTTAATGTGTATTTGAAGATAAGGAAAAACCAGGAGAGACAAGATGATGCCCTTGATGTGTGAGAGAGAAGAAATTTTAGTGATTTCTCCAGTGCTAGCAGGTATCAAAAGCCCAACCAGCAGATCTTTCTAGAGTTGCCATTGCAGATAAAATTTATGGAGTGAAGTTGCATCATATGTGCATTTATGAACCTTTTCATGTTCAATTTTAGGCTCTCAGCAACTTTATGCTCTTCTCTCTTTTTTGTGTGTAATTAAAAACATTGTAAGATTTTATTTTGCATATCAGTTATTTGTAATATATTGTATCTTACTGAAGTTTGAGTACATAAAGCAGTCACAATTATACTTTTTCAGAACTTAAGGATTTCCAAAGGTAACTCTTATTAACTGCAGAAGTCCATTGGAAACAGATGCTTGGTACAAAGGAACTTTTTTACTGCCCACATTTGGGTTTGCTACAAGCATCCTAGATCAAGAGTTCTTAACTGTTTTGAGCAGAGCATGGAAATACCCTGAAATTGTAGGCAGCATGCTATACATGCATCTTGCAGTTTACTGGGGAGAAAATTCAGAGCTTTTACCAGATTCTAAAAGCTACTGATATAGCCAAATGCCTAGGCAGATAAAAAGGGGTCCCCAGAGAATCTCTGACTTGCCCTACAAGTGTTTACATCAGATGCTTTTGCAGATGAGGGAATCTGCCCAGGGCTTGTCTGGGCATACCCAGAGCAGACTGGATCCTGACAAATGAACTGAGGGAAATGGGTGGAGCCATGGGAAATTCATGCCTTATGCATGGAAGGAGCCTGCTCTTTTTAGCTTGTGTGAGCGAAGTCCTTTGAATTCATTGCACCATGGACTACACCATAGCCAAGCCATGGTGACCCCTGTGACCTGCATGTACACCTCCAGATGGCCTCCCAGAGCCAGAAACTCTGTGGTAACAGGAACACACAAAAGAAGAACAGCTAGCTCCTGCAGTGCCTGATTAACCAAGCTTGCAACATTCTGCCATTGTTCCTGCTTCAACTGATGAGCCCACCTGGTGACATTGGATCCTGTGACAAACCCCCTGGCTTAAAAAAACCGCCCTAAACTATAACTTTCTACTGCCTACCCTGAACCTATAAAACCAGCTCCTATCCCACCACCCACTGCTGACTCCCTTTTCGGACTCAGCCTGCTTGTACCTGGCTGAATAAACAAGCCTTGTCACTCAAAGCCTATTTAGGTGGTCTCTTCATTCACTATACTCTTCATTCTTAACAGTATAGTGACCTGGGAATCAAAGAGTGAGGTAGAGGGCCTGTTAGCAGGACTCCATCTCACTTTGCTATTTTTTTCCTTTTCTCCCAATAAATTCTGCTCCTTACCCTTTTATGTGTCCACCAGCCTGATATTTCCTGGTCATGTGACCAGGAAAGAACCCCATTTTAGCTGAACTAAAGGGAAAGTTCTGTAACATTTTTGGCATCCAGACATGGGGCTTGAGGAAAGGTGAGTAACTTGCAAACCAAAAAAATATTTTTCCTTTTGCTTCTAGGCCTTTTTGTCCTTGGACTTCTTCGGAGAGTAGAAGAAATTATGCCTGAGAGAAGTACAGAAATTCCTCTTTGAAGTTTCCATCTTAAGGTCTAAAAAGATGATAATTTGTCATTCCACAATTATCTATCCGCTATTAGCCCCTATAGTCTAGTCCAGTTAGCTGCTTTAGCCTACTCAGGCATGGCTGGACAGGCCTGGGCAAGTCGCAGCCCATAGTTCATGCCATTCCTTGTTTGGAAGCACTTCCCTGATGATCTGGTGATCATCTCTTTTTTCTTTCTTTCTTCTCTCTTTTGCTAGCCTACTTAGGAAAGTCTCAAGCTATTAGCCAATCAGGTCAAGTATAGAATGTGTTTTCCCATTCCAGCCAACAGAAACCAGACACAGCAGCAGAGTAGATGCGTCAGGTTATAAATAATCCTGTCTCCTTTGTCCAGGTGTGTGCTTGTGGCAGGACTGCTATCGAGCGGCACTGTTTCTGCAGAAAGTAAAACTGACCTTGCTGAGAGATCCTTTGTCTCAGTGCTGATTCTTCTTGCAACACTAAGAACCCATTTCCAACACCCCCTACCATGTCATTCCTGGGGGTCAGGAATGTTGACTGGACGAGCAAACTGGTGGCTCCCCTGCTCCCAAGTTCCTCTCCCTGTTGGAGAAACCCATTGGTATAATAATAAGAGATTCTTCCCCAAGGCTTTTTTTTTTTTTTTTTTTGAGATAGAGTTTTGCTCTTGTTGCACAGACTGGAGTGCAGTGGCACGATCTTGGCTCACGGCAACCTCTTAGGTTCAGGCAATTCTCCTGCCTCAACCTCCTGAGTAGCTGGTATTAGCTGGTATTACAGATACCACTACCACACCTGGCCAATTTTGTATTTTCAGTAGAGACAGGGTTTTTCCATGTTGGTCAGCCTAGCCTCGAACTCCTGACCTTGGGTGATCTGCCTGCCTCAGCCTCCCAAAGTGCTGGGGTTACAGGCATGAGCCACCATGCCCAGCCAGCTCTTTTTTTCTTTTTTTCAGAAAACATTTACCAGGCAGGGACCCCAATTATCAGTGTCTATATTTTCTGTGAAGTTTTAATGATGTAAAAGGATTCGTGAGGTTGATCTAAAGCTGTAGCCAATCTGGTATGCTTTTCATGACTTCCTGTATGGTCAACAGCAAACCTGGCTGCAGGCCTCCATCTTGTTTTACATGCTTGCGATCTGGACCTCTAAGGACATAGCAATGTTTTTGTTCTTTCATTTCACTATGATGCCCATGTTCGATCTTAGCTTAGGAAATGAGTACTTTCCAGTTAATATCTGTGTGACTTTTACCATTTGCTGACTCTCTTCCCCACCATGAACAACTTCTAGTCTTTTTCTTAAATCTTCCTTTCTCTGGGTTACCTTCAAAGCTTCTAAATTTTGAAAGAACCGCTTACCCTCACCCCCTTCAAAAATACCACATACACTCACAGAGAAATCATAAACTTAAGTGACGCTTGTTGGTTTCCTTTGGTAAAGTCTGAAAGCCAGAAATACAAGTTTCTTGGCATCACTACAGTCAGGTAATAAGCAAGTTAAAAGAATTTTCTTAGAGAGTGATCAGCTTAATTAAATGTGGATGTCCAAATTATGATATATTTAAAAGACCTTTATGCATTTTCCTCCTCTGGGATCTTACTTTACTGGAAAAAGGCTTTTCCTGAGTTACTTTTCTCCATTTTGCCTTGCCCCTCTCTCAACGCATGCATGACAGGCCCTAAGATAACTCCTGGGGCCTGGGACTCCTTGGGAAAAACAGATAAGGTGCCACTCTGTCTGGGGAAGAATCCTGTTTTTCTCATGGAACCCCAGGAATTAAAAGTAGATAGATCCCTCTCAAAATCTGTTTTTTCCTCTCAGTCGTGTCTATTTAATAGGCCTGAAAAGCTGCATATTTTCTTTGTCCTGCCTCTTAAAAAGCTCCACCTGGAGGCCCATGATCCAAATAGGAGTTGGGCTAATGAAAATCTTACGACTGCTGGGTTTTCTTCTACCTGTCTGTGTAGTTATACGTGTTCTATATGTGATGTCTACAAAAAAGAGCTCTAATTAATTGGTCTAATGGAAGACAAGCGCTTGGATCAAATTTTTTTTAAAGGGAAGATAAAAGCCATGGTACCTTTTAGTTCATGTGACTTTAATCTTTGAGAAATAAAAACAGCCTTAAAGACTATTGGTAAAATGCAGATGCTGTCAAAATGTAGATAGGTGAACTAAAGTATGCAGGTCAGATACTAGGTTTGCTAAATGTTTTAAGGTTATAAACTGCCTTTTTGGTTTTTAAGAACTTTTCAATTTGCCAGCTTCACAATTGGTAAGGCCTGGGGACATGTGGAATTAACCACACCCTTAATTATGATGGAAGGAGTCAAATCTTGGCTGAACCTAGCACGTAATTAAAAACAACTTACCAGGTTTTACATGAAAGTTAAAATTGCTAGGGGTTACCACTAGAATTGAAACTACTAGAAATAGATTTACATGCAAGGTATGTAAGAACAGTAAGATGTGTTTTTCGTAAAAGATTATAAGAAGGTATGGAAATTCTTGTCTAGGGTTAAAGCATTG